ATATGTGACACAACGCACAAAATATTCACCTTTAATATTCTACAAATTTTTTTTCATTCATACCATTTCAAAGATATTGAATTTTTTTCTCTCCCTATCGCTCCTATTGAATATTTATGAATGCACATAAGTATTGAATTGCTTATAAATAAGTATGTAATTAACAGCGGTGATATGAGTACACACGTCCACCAGCAAGTAGTATTCGATATTTATATAAAAATATATGTTTATAATTAGTATTTGCAATTATTTTCATGTGATTATCATTAAGCCTCTACGAATATAAAACTGACAAACGCTTAAGTATATGAAAATACATATCAACTGTCTGCATTGCGCGGACGCATTAATATGGTTAAGCTGGTAATAAATCTCTATACCATTATCCCTCCTATATAAAAGTTATAGGTTCACGTGCCAAATTCACGTTTGGACTTATCTGTCCTTTGTTAAGCTGAATGAATTCTGTACAATGTACATACATATGTTCATATAATATTGCAGCTTAAAACATACAAGTAAAATATTAATTGGTTGACAACGTGGTTACAAGCCGACACTACTTCCAAGGGATTATTTTGATTATGTGTCAATAATGATAGCTCGAACAACTAACTAAGGTTGGAGTTACATATGAACTAAACGTCCCACGCCAGAGCAAATATACAAATGTACAAATATACATATATATAAGTTTATACGTATACATTCTAACTCGTCGCTGAACGTGTGTAGCATTGGCTTATATTCGTATTTACATTTACGGTGCATTGCGAACTACGCCAAGAAAAGCTTACATCCCTTTCACGAACGCTTGCCAGACTGATATGATCCCGGTAGAGCTGTTCAAGAATAAAAGAGCCGACCGAAATGCCTCGCATTACCAATTGTATCAAGCCTGTCCGTGGCAAAACTACTACGAATGGCCACAATGAAATTGCAGAAAAAGCGACGAGTTTGAAGAAAAATTGACATTTCCCTAATATCAGCAGCTGTAAGCGTATAATCATATGCAAGAATAGCTAATGCTTATTAAAACAAGAAAAAACGTTAACTTCGGTTGCACCCAAGCTAAATACCCTTCACAGGTGCATTTCTGTTAGTAACTATGTGTTCAGTTTGTATGGAAGCTGTATGCTATAGTAATCCGTTCTGAACAATTTTTTTGGAGATTATGTTTCCCATACAAGCCCATGATTCGGATCGATAACCTGTGCCAACTTTTGTGAAACTACATTGTGAAACGTGAAAGTTTTCCATACAAGAACTGGATCCCGATTGTTTAGTTTGTATGGCAGCTATATCGACTGATATCGGCAGTTCCGACAAATGAGCAGCTTCTTGAAGAGAAAATGACATTTGCAAAACGATGTTTTAAAACCTGAGGGACTAGTTCCTATATATACAGACCGACAGACGGACAGATAGACGGACATGGCTAAATCGACTCAGCTCCAACCCTTCCTTCTGGGTGTTACAAACTTCGTGACAAACTGACCCTATTCATGGTATAAAAATATCAATTTAGATGGAGTGTAAAATATCATTGCGTGCTTTAAACGCGAAGCGTTAGGTAATGCTTCACTCCACCTGAAAATCTAAAAAAAAAACGAAGAAATTTTTAGTTCAGCTCAGCACTAAGAGTAAGATGTTTCAGAGTCTCCAGTAAAAAGGCCGGTAATTTGAAAATAAACTATTCATATTAGGTGCGTTTTATTTGACCAGCAAATTAGCTTATTTTGTATATAAGACTTAGCCGACATAATTATTTTTATATGGCATAATTATGTTGGCTTGTCATAAGCTWTCATAGCTTGTATATTGAACTAGAGGCATTGCCAGTTCATCGCCTTTTTTCATTCACACTAGCTATGATCTTTCCAAAAAAAAATAACGATAAAGTTCAAATAACGATAAAATACAAAATTTTGTGGTTTGGTTAAGTTAAAATTAATACAAGCCTTGCGGTATTTTTGCTAGTTGGCGCTAGTTCTAGTTTTATTCGTCTCATCGGGTCATGCTATATCTTTTTGGAAAGCTCATTTCACGCGCTAACGCGTCTTTGATTGATTGTCGTTTCTTTTAAGTCGTTCGTGAGTTATAGCGTGGCAAACATGGAGCAAAATAAAGAGAAAATACGGCATATTTTACAGTACTATTATAAAGGCAAAAATGCATCTCAAGCCGCCAATAAAATTCGTGCAGTTTATGGACCCGATACAGTTTCCATTTCCACCGCACAACGATGGTTTCAATGTTTTCGTTCTGGTGTAGAGGTGGTCGAAGATGCGCCACGCTCTGGAAGGCTTGTCGTCGAAAATTGCGATAAAATCGCTGACTTGATCGAAAGAGACCGGCATAGTAGCAGCCGTAGCATCGGTCAAGAGCTGGGCATGAGTCATCAAAAAATTTTATGAACAATTGAAAATTCAATAAAAATACCGCAAGACTTTTTTGACAACCTTTTATTAATATCATCAAATGAACAAAATAAATAATTTATATAATAATACCGATTAAAAATTGAAGAATTCAAACTAGCGTTTTATCCACATCAGACATTTTTAAACAAATTGAATATCAACTGTTCCCGTCCGCATTGCCAACACACTTCGTTTTTAAGCGAAAATATGAAATAAGCTAAATACGTTTTATTTTTACATGGTTTAGCTATTAGCTTATGATGGTCAAATATTACGGCTATTATAAACAACAAGTTATTCTATAAAAAATTACATATTTTGTGTGTCTGTTAACATGTAATTCCGTTGAATAATTTTTCTGTATAATAAGTGGTTAAGGTATGCACATTCGGATTTTAAATTATTTTTAAATTACCATAGATAGGTATAGGTTACCACGAAAAACTCTGGTATCCAAATCTAAAGCAATAATTTTAATTTGTGCCTACTACATTTCTAAAATTGAACTCTGGCCACGCCACAAGTTGTGTGTTGTACTTCCTTGCACTGCACTACACGCAAGTTGTTAGCTTTTCAAAAATTTCTTAAGAAAAGTTGTCTTGACATTGCTTCGAGTTAGCGCTGTATGTGCAATTCATTCAATTATCTTTATCAAAACACAATGGAATTTTCACCTATAGACATAAACTAACACGTTAAAGACTGGTTGTGTTATTCCGAAACCAAAGGACGAATTTTCTGTTTTTTTTTTTTTTGCACAGTTACGAATTTAGATAGCTCATCACCACGGTTTACGAAAGACAGATTAGATGACTGGAAGTATGCACACAATTTGTTGACAAGACATGAAGAAAGCACTCCGCATAGAAAAGCCATAATTTCGATGTTAAACCTCAAAAACAAGAATACGCGTGTTGATTCTGAACTTGTGAGCCAAATGGAGACTGAGCAAAAATATTGGAGGCTACTCTTAAAAGGAATCATTGCAGTTTATTATTTTTTAGCAGAACGAGGACTTGGGTTTAGGGGTAATGACGAAATTGTTGGATCACCTGGAAATTATTTAGGCTTATTTGAATTAATAACCCAATTTGACGCTTTTATGGCTCAATATATTCAGAGTCATGCTAATAATGGAAAGGGGCATACGTGATATTTACCAAAAACAACTTGTGAGGAATTTATTCATTTAATTGTATCAAGCATATTGGATCAAATTATTTTCGAAATTAAGATGTGGAAATACTACTCAGTTTCATTGGATTCTACTCAAGATATATCGCATATAGACCACCTGACTCTGATAGTAGCCTATGTTCTGCCATCTGGACCAGTGGAAAGATTTGTTAAGTTCCTGGAGAATGAAGGTCATACTGCGGATCAATTCGCACAAACTTAATAGATTTCTTGAGTGAGAGTGGCATTAATATCAAAGATTTCCGTGGGCAAAGCTACGATAATGCCAGCAACATGAGTACGAAATACATCGGCTTACAAGCCCAAATTAATAAAATAAAAATAATAAATCTTGCACATTCATTAAATTTAGTTGAGTGCGCTGCAGACTGCTGTACAGAAGTATTACTTTCTTCGATTTCATTGAAAACCTATGTACATTTTTTTCCACTTCTACCTATCGATGGGGTCGTCTTACGAACGCATTTAAAGATTCTACTTCAAAAATTCCGATTTTGAATCGGTTATCGGACTCTAGGTGATCAGCCAGAGCTGGTGCTATGTATGTCATCACATCCTGCTTTGCCTTGCCTTGGCCTGTCATACGTTGATGGCATAAATAAGGCCGACCGATATAAGCGCGATCACTTTGTGTGAAACACACATAAAGTTTTCACCGAATAATTTTTTTTTTTTTTTTTTGAACAGCCGGAATAAGAAAAGCAAACGACTTGTACCACACTTATTGTAATCGGCAGTCTTGGTTTAATTATTATTATTATTATTTTTTATTTTTTTTGAACATTCTGAAACCGTGAATTTTTGATATACCGCTTGTTTGAACCATACTATCAGCGCCCAACTATAGTAATCGAATCACAAGCTACAACTTTTTTACATAAGGAAGTCAGCTGTGCTCGTGAAATATTTTTTAAAAATTATCAATAATTTTTTACAATTTTATTATTACAGACGATAACGAGAACAATTTCCATACGCATAAATAATAAAATAATATTGTACAAATGCATACATTAATGTGAATACACTTGGATTGCAAGAGAGCCTTAGATCAATAAATTACCCGCCTTAAATATATAGTTCTTCTTTATATAGTGTATTATTTCCTGCATATAAATTCTGCTTAAAGCACTTCCTGTTTGTGTTTCTAGCACACTTTAAATCACTTCATTCGAGTAATAATTCATTGGATATTCGTACCTCATATTCGTATATATTCGTAGTTATGTGTGAATGTATGTATAGTATATCTGACTAGTTTCTTCTTATCTCAAACAAAAAATATGGAAAAACATACATTTTCGTGTTTTATATCAGTTTATCTTAGTAATTCCTAAAACTGATTTGCCTATAATTTTTTATTTCGCATGTACTCACCATGATTAACTTTGTCCTTTACTAGTAGGCACAGAGTTTTTGTTCCAAAGAACTCCTTTGGCCAAATAACTTCGAGAAGCACAATCCAACGCAAACTAACATCGGTCCACACTTTGACGTTTGTATAAATTAGCGCTCACCCTTTGCCCCTCAAAATGTCTGTATTTCTTCAAAAGTAAATATTTTCCGTTTATTTAACAACGAAATTCGCGGAGAGAGTGCAGCTGAAGTATTTTCTCATTTAAAGGCGACTTTTTATACAGTTCAAATTGAGTAAATCCAAAACACTGATATTTTATTCACTCACAAGCGAAATAAGCGAATGAGTTAAAAGTTTTTATCAAAATATTCACACACTTAATTATTATATTTTGCATTTAGCTATATTGTAAAATGTAATGTTTTATGATTTTTCACCTTTATTTAATTTGTGTGGTTTTAATGAGTTTGTGGTTCATTTTGCTGTTATTAAAACTTCCAAATTGTTTTATTTTTGCGCTCCCATCACAACATCAGCCAGCATTCGTTATTTTACCTCAATATAAATTCTAATCCTGAAAAGAAATCAAATTTATATTTACTATATATACGAGTATATATACATGTACATACATAAGTGATATGAAGTGTTTAAATCATAGATAAACTGCTACAGTAATTGCCTTTTTGTGGAGCATTTTGACAAAAGCGCCCAATAGTTTTTGTTGTTAATAATGCTCTTGGTTATTTAATGCAATTTGTAGAAAATGTTCAATCAAATTTCCTAAAGGGCTTTAAACTGCAAATAAAATTGAATAAGCAAGCAAACAACAAACCAATTTTAATAAACTTTTTTTTATGTATGTACATCAGATTTTTCGACCGCTGCATGCTACAGCACAAATAAGCATGAAATAGGTATTTGGTACAATTGCGCATACTGTCCATATATATATTATTAAAATCAGCTTTTAAACTATCAAATCGCGCAGAAAAATAGGTGAATTCAGAACATAACACCTAATACTCCTAGCATTCATATATCTAATATACGAATTTAAATCCTCCGTCAATATGAAAATTAAAAACAAGGCGTGAGAAAATATATTCTCAATTCTATATTAGTATAATAAGAAAGGTTTATATAACCGGTTAGAATTTGCACTTAGGCTCAATATAATCGAGTGATTTCCTGTTTCTATCCACAACGTGCTTAGTATTGATTTTGGATTTACAACCAGACTTCCTTCTTATTTAAACATTTTAAGTGAACATTTTTCCTTAACATTGTTTTCGTTCATCATGTGGTTTAGAATATGAATGAAATAGGCTCAGATCTTCTTGTAAGCACCATATACCCAATATTATGCAATATACGCAATTGTTTAAAATAACTCACGTATTGACGGACATATACTATACATGTGTATTTGTATAAAGCTAATAGGTAGTTTGCAATTTTTATATTAAGTATATGATGTCTAAGGAAAGTGCTGACTTGATTTTAATCATTTTTGGCATCACGAGCCACTATTTCAGGAAAATTATTTTCAATTCTTTGTCTACGAAACTTCGCAGACTTAATAATTGCATATAATACTAGCTGGCTCCGCAGCCGTTGTTCTGCGTGAAATTATGTGTTTCGAAATGAAAAGAAAGTTGAATTTATATTGTCATTGTAAAGACGATCGATCGATTTGCATAAGCACAAACCTCCCGGAATTTGACCAAATTTAGTCACTAACATCGGAATTTTTGACAGCCAAAATTACGTAGTTACGATAACTCGGCCAATGTTCGGATAAACATTCGTGTTGAGTTCATCTTTCGTTGAAGTGAATTGACAAAAGACAGGTGAAATTGATATCAAACCACTGGAAATATCAACCGAAATTTGCCCATTTATAATTCTTAGCGAATACGATGTAAAATGTCTTCGGCAATGTCATTTCTTTCGTATCCCATAATAGAGGTGGATTTGAAGGCTGATATATCCAAGAGATCTTCCCGAAAAGTATGCGAACTTAAGTGCCATGTGCTATCACATCGTCCATCGTTTGCTTCCAGTGATTATCATGTTCCAGCAATTGCAATTGCGAGCATGTTCTTCAAAAAGTTGCACGCACTGTACCGTTCACAATCACGCCAGGCGCACAACAGTCGGAAAACTTTCATGAATTGCAAAAGTAAATATCCTACAAAGCGCTTTATTACAGTTCACGTATCGATCCATTTGATACTTGCTGATCTCATCTCGTTCAAAGCTAATAATCGTCATGTTGCTTTCTTTGGTGACGTATTTCATCGATTTCCCCAAACTGCAATACTCAACGTTGATATGAGTTTTGAATGTGAGTTAGACAATAATGGTGATATAGTACGATCCATATGTTGTCAACTTCGATATTCACGCTTCTAAATTGAATGTTAAATGATCTGCCATTGTCGTCTAGTGAGCGATGCCTATATAGTGGATATCCATCATTTCCAGTTTGCGTTTCCAAAAGAAAAGCACGTGCATAGCATTTATTGTCAGACATACAAACCGAAGTGGGACATCACAGCAAGGTATATGAACCATATTGGTTTTCATCACTTCGTATAATTCTGGATGTACCTCTGGATCAGGAATTTCCGCAGAAATGATTTCACCAATTTGGTCTGGTGTAACCAACATCCCCATCCAAAGAAGAATATGTTCGTGCGGCAAACCTCTTTTTAGCCACTGAACATAATACATCCAGCATCTCACAGCACCATATATACCGTACGTTGCTTCAAGATAAAGTCCATCAAACATCACAGCTGTTGTTTGAAAAGTCGTACTGTGATGTAGTGCCGATCGCTTACGAACTGACCGCGATCCAAAACAAAAAAATTAAAAAAAATTCGTATGAAAAAAGTTACTTTTTGGAATTGTCCAATTTTCCGACTTTTCGTCACGAAAAGCATATGGGTTTTTTATTTCTAAACCTTTCCCGATCTACAGCGAAAAACCTCTGAAAATGTCATCAGGGTTGACTCAGCCAAAGGGTTGTTTTTTGGTCTTTTCCGGCAAGTATTCGAATTTTTCTTGCCATAAAAACCATCCTTGAACCTCAACAAACATTTAAAAAAAGAATTGACCAAATTGGCTCAGGAGTTGTTGAGTTATGCGCTTAGCAACACATTTTGCGATTAATTTTTATATATACATATAAGATGAAGTCAATCGGTGCTTCGAAAATCATTAAATTAGGCATAAGGAAAAAAAAATTTTCTCTCCAAGATATTGTCGCTACGAATCACATAATCGGTATTTGGTGGCTTGAAAAGTTATGATAATTTTTAGACGAGATAGCGGCCCGGAGGAACCAACGAATAAACACACAGCGTAGATCTTTCACAGTTCTCAAAATTTTGATACAGAGTGATCCATTTCGGGGTTCCCTATTTTATTTTATTTTTTTTTTTGAAGAAAGAACACAGAAACTTCAAATTTAATGGGGAATGTTTGTTTACATTCAAAAGAACATTCTTTGAGATTAATTTCTTTCAAATGCTGGCCGCAGCAACGTCTCAGATGGTCCATAGGTTGAGACGCATCATGTTTTCCTCCAAGGCCTGAAACGAAGTGAGATTGTCTACATAGACTTTAGGCTTAACATATTCCCATAAGAAAAAGTCAAATGCTTATTAGAAATATCTAACGGATTCACCAATGCTTCGTATTTTGAATTTTTATTAAATTTTCTTTCGTATGTATATAAATATGTACATTCATACATATTGATGCATCCGGAGACTTCAGAGTCAATGTGTTCAATATTTAAATACAAAGAAGGCCGCTCATAAAATTTTCCGTTATTAAAATTAAAAATTTTCGCATGTTCATAAACCACATACTTAAATATTTAGGCAATCAATATGTTAAATGCCACATGAAAATTAAATCCCAACTCTGGAGCTAAATGAGCAAACAATAAATATTTGAAAACGTCAGAGCAGAAAACCACTAAGGCATTTTTGCCGCACAATATTCAGAAAAGCCAATAAGCAAAGCAAATTTTCATAACATTGCTACCCTGTTCTTTTCATGTATGAGCGGCTTTATCGCCATTTCATTGTTGTGGTGTAGCTTTAATCTCACATATTTGCTATCGCCTTAATTGCATTAAATGTTATTAATTTATATTGGGGAAACAAACATTTTTTTACATATATTATATTGTATATATATGTAAAATATCGAGAAAACATGATGTCTGATAACAGATAAAGCTGGTACTGCGGTTCAGCAATGGGTACTCGGCGAACTAAAGTGATGAGTTGATTGGATGGATACAATTGCGCTTTCGTAATGCAGCAAATATTACAAATTCTAATACATTGTGATATAAAAATATTTAATTACTACACACAGTAACACAGTCCCCGAAACACTTTTAATAAGCACTTTTTGGGATTGCATTCAGCTTGTTTAGCGAATTTTGTTTTATCTCTTCGATCGACTGAAAACGTTTTCCACATAGCGGCAATTCCAGTTGGTGGAACATGTAAAAATCACACGGACCCAAATATAGTGAATACAGTGGTTAATTGATGGTACTAATTGCTTTTTTGGCTTGAAATTGGGTCACAATCGTGTCCCGATGCGTCGGTGCATTATTATCGTGTCAAATCCATGAATTATTGTTCCACAATTCCGGCTGTTTTGAAGGATATTCTCACGCAAACAGCTCACTTCTTATTGAACATCACTTTGATTTTTGAGCGGCTTTGGCGAGGCTTTTTTTGGTTTCGGCTCGGTTTTTCCCCTCCATTCCGATGATTGTTGACTTGTTTACATGTCAAACTCATAAGCCCATGACTCATCGGCAGTTATAATGCTTTCCATAAATGTGGGATCGGAATTTGCAAGATCAAGCATGTTCAAAGAGACATGTTTACGATACTCTTTTTGAAAACTCTTTAACTTTATCGGGGCAAGACGAGCAATAACACGTGTTATATCCAAAATATCCATAATCATTCGAACGGGACTCGCGAGAGATGTTGAGCTTTCTGAGCATCTCTCTAACATTTGCCTGAAGGTTTTCAAGCACCACTTTCACTGTTTTAACATTTCATAAGTTGAAGTGGTCGAAAGTCGCCCAGAACGAGGCATGTCTGAGTTCTTTTTTGCCACAATGTGTGTAGTGTTTTTATGCATCAGTTTGATTGTTCCTTCTTTTACGGAGTTGCGAAAACTGTCCTAAGTGTCGCAGGAAG